ACATAGCTAGTGAAACTTTATTTTTCTGAAATTAAGGGATATTCTGAAGGGAGATTTTACAAGAAAACTGAATGTCAAAAACATGGTGTGTGAAATGTTCCATTTTCTCATGAAATACTGTAACATAGACCAGCTTTAAGATAACTGCTATGACATAGGTGTCTAATTGATCAACCTTTTCTCTAAACAAGAGAAAAGGACTTTGAGAAGCTTACTATTACAAAGCTTGATTATGCATGGTTCTATAGGTTTGCATATGTTTTCAGTGAGTTAAACATTTCTATTTCTTTTATTCTCAAGTTTCATGTCCCTCAAAAAGTGGTACATATTCCTTATCTAATCAGAGCTTCCATATAAATTTGTGCTTTGCTCATAAACATGAAGTCTGAAGGTCATCCACTGATTTATCTGAAGCTACAGATATGTCACCCTCTGATGTTTTTATAGGCAGTCTTTTTCTGTATCTTTAAAGGAGGGGGTCTAATACTGCTTAGGGGGAAAAGGAGCACATGGTAACAATCCACCGATAACTGTCTGCAGCTTATCACTTATTTGTATTTTAAAATTGGGTTTCAAAAGCAGTGGTTAGCATTCATGAAACCACCAAAGGACAATCTTTAGCGAAATTATAAAATCCCATTTACACAAGGACTATATAGCACAAGGTCTAGAAGAAACATTAGAAAGCTTGCAGGAAAATTTCATTTTAGCCAAAGGGCTTGCATTCATTGAAATCTTTGTCTTCATGATCTATTTCTTTCACAACATTTTTTCATACTGAAGTGAATGTGCATCTATATGATGTAAAAACATATGGATGAAAGGTGAAAAATTCATTCCATTTGTCTAAAGTTTGACTCAAGAATGCTAAAAATATGGAAGTGTGGATGCATCCGAGTGTTTTTGTGCTATGCAAACTAGAATATTCAGATGATTGAAATCTTCAGATTTTATTTTTATGCTTTGGACTTTTGTAAATATAGTTTCAAACGGAATAGCTCACTGTCTTCTGAGGTAATCAGCAAGTGAGTTAATTGAATAGGCCAACTATGTGTTTATATAAGGTGGGCAACTTTCTGAATGGGAGGAGAATGAACCAGACAGGTATCTGATGACATACTTTGTGTTCCACCCAGGTTCTTTGGTTTTGAATAGGTAACAGTCGTACGTTTCAGCTTTCCTGTATGGATATCTAAAGAGGGGCTTATTTGAATCTTCTTACAGAGAGAAAAATAAAGATATTTTTATTGAGCAATGCATAGCTTGCTATTATATAACCTCTCTATAGCTGTGGCATTTGATTTAGTTAAAATTAAAGACAAATGTGATGTAGCTAGCAAAATATATTAACACTCTCATTTAACTACCTATTGAGCAGAGTGCTCTTTTAACAGGCAAATGGGTATTTACTAAAATCCTGCTCCAATATTTCGTTATGCTGTCAAGGTGACCCTAGGGTCTAGAAGGCAATGTTAGAAGAGTGTAAGCTCTGGCAAGGTCGATCAAGATTAGAAAGACACAAGGGGTTAGAAGAGACCTTTGTGTCCATAGTCCAATCCCTTCATTTTTATAGATGAGGAAACTGAGTCCCAAAGAAGTAAAGTTCAGAGAAATTCAACACCAAAAGGTTGATCAGTGCATAATGTGTTTTATTTTGGTCACAGAAGTTTATTAAACTGTCTACTAAGACATGAAAAGGCTATATCATGTAAGGGAGTATATGTGTATATGAAATCATGGATCTTTGGAGTTTTGAAGTTGAAGTGGTGATGTCCTTGGAGGTAGCTATGTGGCAGAGCGGATGGAGTGCCGGACCTGCAGTCAGAAAGACCTGAGTTCAAATTTAGATTCAGATGCTTACGTAATTGTGTGACTCTAGACAAGTCACTTAGCCTCTACCTACCTCACTTTCCTCATCCGTAAAATAGTAATAAAACTAACAGCACCTACCTTCCAGGGTTGTTGTGAGGATAAAATGAAATAATATTTGTAAAGCACTTTGCAAACCTTAAAATGCTATAGCAAATAAAGCTGAATTGTCTTATTTTTTACACTTTTGAATTTGTTTGATTGATCCTCAATGTGTCATAGAGTCATCAGCTTCCACTTGCCTAATTCCAACTTTTAAGGCATAGTTTTTCTCAATTACCTTTTGTACTTTCTTTTCTATTTGGCCAATTGTATTTTTTAAGCAGTTGTTGTCTTTTCCGTAGCTACTGACTCTTCATAATTCTCTTGCATCACTCTAATTTCTTTTCTTAATTCTTCTTCTGCCTCTCCTAAGTGATTTTTAAGCTCCTTTTTGAGCTCTTCCATGAGCTCTTTCTGGGCTTGAGAACACTTCCTGTGTTGCTCTGGGGTTTTGCCCATAGGTGTTTTGACATTGCTGTCCTCTTCTGAGTTTGTGTCTTGATCTTCTCTGTCACTGTAATAACTTTCTATGGCCAGATTAGTTTTTCATTTTTTTTGCTCATCTTTTTCGGCCTTTTTCCTTTCTTTTAAATTTGAGCTCTGCTCTAGGGTAGAAGAGGCATTGTCTCAGGCTTCTTGTGCCAGGGGCTGCAGGCCCTGGCTGTTTACTTGGTGCTGCACAGACGTTGCCCTTAGGCGCACAGGGAACCCTCATGTCTGGTGCTATGTGGATGGGTGGGGTGGGGAGGTGGCTGGTGCTGCTGGAGGCAGTAGAGGTCTGGAAGCTTATCTGGTGCTCAGCTGAAGTCTTAGTGCTGGAGTCTGGCATGTGCTGAGGCCAGTGGGGTGTTTCTGCATTTCCCTGGGGTTCCGCTGAAGCTTGTGGCCATCTGGCAGCTGGAGGGTGCCGGTTTGCCTGGGGGCTAAGCTGAAGCAAGTGGTGACTGCTTGTTTGCTCAGGCACCCATGGGATTGGTGTCTACCTGTTTGCCTGGGGCTACACTGAAGCATAAGGTGGTTCTCAGACCTGGAGTCTGCCCACTCCCTGGCTATGCTGAGGAACATGTGGCATCTTGGTTTGGTGTTTGCCTGTTCTACCACACTAGGGTACAGGATCTACTGCTGGTTTTTTGAGGTGGGACTTGTTGCTGGCTTGCTGGGATGCTTCCTGTCCTGGACTGCTCTCCCCTTTTATCTGAGTGAGACCGATGTTTCCTGAAGGTCTTCCAAGTTTCTTGGGCTCAAAGATTGTTTCACCCTGTCTTTTTGCTGGTTTCGCTGTTCCAGGATTTGTTCTGGAACATTATTTTATGGTTGTTTGGAGGTGAATATGAGAGAATTAAGGTGATTTACTGTTTATTCTGCCATCTTGGCTCCCAGGAGTCAAGGCCCCAGAATTATCTTTTAAAACAGCCAAAGTTATATGTATAACTATTTTAGTGGCAATTATGTTTCAGTGGTAACACTTTGACTAACTAGAATTATATTTAAATATTTACATTTATTCTATTTAGAATTTAATTAACTAGAAGATCATATTCTTTAACAAGATCTTTCTGCCTCCACTCTTCCTGTCTTCTCTTTCCCCCACACCCACCTCTTCTCTATCCTCCACACAGATGCCAAAATTGTATTCCTAAAAATGAAATGTTAATATTTGTAAAGTACTTAACACAGTTTCTAGCACATAATTGGCACTTAATAAATGCTTATTCCCTTTCTCTCCTGCAGCCTAAAATACAAGGTCTGACCATGTCACTTCCTTGATGATTTAGCATCCTCTAGGTTAAAATACAAATGCTTCAGTTTAGAATTTAAGATCCTTGACAATTTGTCTCTAACCCATCTTTTCATATTGATTTCATACTACCTATAACCTTTATGTTCCAGCCAAACTGCCTATTTTCTGTGCTCTTCTGCGGAAGAATATCTTCTGTCTCCATGCCTAGAAGATATCTTGTGTTCTCTTTCCTCCTCTTCTTGGAATCCCTAATTTCCTTCAAGAATCATCTCAAGGGTAGATGAGACCTTTCCTGAGCTTCCCCAGTTTTTAGTTCTCTCTCTAGCCCCCTGAAATTACTTTGAGTATGTTTTACGCTTTTCTGAATATATATTGTTCCCCTAGTAGAATGTAAGTAGAATATTAATTTTTCTCTATCTCCAAATATAAAACAGAGAATTAATATATAAAAGTTAAAGTAATATAACAACTATCAGACTTATTCTATGACATGAAGTGATTGTGGGTCTATCTGAAAAGATGATGGTTGTTGGATTAGCACTGGTCTCTTGAAGTCAGAAGACTGGGGTTCAAATTTCACCTCTACTCTTTTATAAGCTGTGTGACTTTGGGCAAGTCATTTATTTAACTTCTCTGAATCTCAGTTTGCTTATATGTAAAACAGGGATGATGATATTTGTTATCATCTACCTCAGAATGTAGTTATGAAATCCAATGAGATAATATATGTAAAGTGCTTTGAAATTTTAAATTGGTAGGTTAGTTTAGGCTAATACCATTATTATTATATTAGATTTACCTGATTTTCTAAAGTAATTTAGAAGACTCCTAAAATGGATATTCTTGATATTTTCTTTTTTTGTTTTCTTGTTAAAATCATTTTTATTTTATTATTAGTAATGATAAAAAACAAAATTAATTTTGATTGGTCTTAAAAAGAAATTGAGTCAGAAGTTAAGAAGTCCAAAAATAGGATGAATAAAGAGGGTCCCTATACACCCAAGGACTTCGTATCATTATATTGTAGAGTAGGCCTAATTTCTGGGCAACATTAGTCTTGGGCATATCACTTTTACTGAATACACACACACATTTAATTTGACCTTTTTAACTGATTTGGCCAACTTTGCTTCCTTGTATCTTTTCCCAAGGAGAATCAAATTAAATCAGCCTAAAAATTCAACAGGGAAAACAAACTGGGTCATCTCCTTCTCAGAAGTGAGGAGATTGACTCTATCTTATCTACTGTCCCCTGAGCATGCTATAGATTTCTTCACTTATGATTTAATTTAAAGGATCCATCATGAGAAAAAAAAATGACAGTTTGAAATGTTTTATTTTCCTACAGGATTCAGTTACTGGAATCGCCAACATTGCTAACTTATACTCACATTTCTCTTCCACTATGAGCAGACCAATAGAACTTCATATTTGCATGGCTCTCGTTAACATCCTGCTTCTATCTGTCTCACAATGTCTGACTTTCCCCAAAATGGGAAGGAGGGAGATAGCACATATTGAAGGTCAAACTGAGAGACAGAATATAGATGACCTTGAAAAACCCGGACCTTCAAAGCAAACAGCTCAAATGGCACTAATAGAAGATTCAAATATAGTTTTAACAGAACTATCTGGAACGTCATTGAATAAGGGGTTCACTATTATAGAAGAAACGCAGCTCACTGGAATCAGCAATGTGTTCACACGTAGTCAGAGCACTGATGATGTGTACACCCCTACCGAGTCAATGGCTTCTTCAGATGAAGGAGGGTTTAATCCTACCCAACACAATGAAGACTTATCTGAAAGTAGGTTAACCGCAGCTGTTACTACAGTAGTCTCCCTGAATAGCAATGTGAAAGCTGATGTTTTTAGCAGTTCCAGTAGCGGGCCCCCTGTTGAAAAAGCCACAGAAGCAAGGCAAGGTTTTCCAAGGCCTCTGGAAGATCAATTCTTAGAGACAGGAAGCAAGGCAGATGACAGTCTGGAACATTCAATGACAACCCAGTTGAACACTGAAGAAATGTTAACTACTAACCCACGAACTGGAAACTCGGAAATAACCATTGAACGTACAACGATGGCTTCTTCTGTGACAAATCCCACCGCAGAGATTGGAACTGGTGTCCTCACTTCAAGTACAGAGAGTCCCTCACAGCTGACAGCTTATCAAGCTCAGGCCACTGTCACCGAACACCTGCTTGACTCCTCAGACTTCCCAAGCATTGAGTCAGAAACTGACAGTATGCCAGGAGGTGTGGCAACGGCTGCCAGTGCTCCAACAGCAGCTTTAGGTATTCCAGCTGTCTCAGCCCTGAATGAGGACTGGGATGATACCAAATTAACAAGTGCAAGCCGAATAGGTGTCTCAGAGCCTAGAGGTAGTGCAGGGACCATTCACGTGGAAGCCAAAGCTCCTCAAACACTACAGCCAGACATTGATGATGTGAAAGGAGGGGAGCTCTTGACAGATTTTGCAGATGTCGTTTTGGGACAAGTTGGAGAGAGAACACATCATGGGGCATCTCCAGTGATGCTGCATGTGGAAGAAAAATCTGTTGCCTTCACTGATCAAGGTTCCTTCCAGTTTATGAATCCTAAAGAAGACACCAAAGTGACAACTATAAGCTTATTCCAGAATACAAGACACCCTAAACTAGATGGTGGAGAGTATGATGCCTTATTTTTTCCAGTGACTACAGTTCCCATCACAGATTCTCAATCTGAAGCATACTACCCTCTGGGAAATACATTAACAGGTAAAGAATACAATTTTGCCTACAATTTTGCCTCTGATTTTATTAAAAAAAAGAGAGAGAGTTGAAAGGTATTATCCATACAGATTATTAAATGAAAAGAAAAATTATGCCAATGAAATAAACACACGACATAAAATATAATTAAATTGAGAGGAGATGTGGCATAGTGGATAGTGGTCTGGTCTTGAGTCAAATTATACCTCTGACACAAGTCCCCTTACTCCTTGATGTTCCAGGGAATTTTCTTTTCTTTTTTTTTTGGTGAGAAAATTGAGGTTAAGTGACTTGTCCAGGGTCACACAGCTAGTAAGTGTCAAGGTCAGATTTGAACTCAGGTCCTCCTGACTCCAAGCCTGGAGCTCTATCCCACCAGGGAATTTTCTAACACCATAAGTGGTGCATGACTAGCCAACCTGTATCATCAGCTCAAGAATTTTCTGTACCAGAAACTCTCTATGTGCATGAAATCACAAGTTTGGACCTCTCCTCCTCTCTCTGAAATTATTAAAATATTCTTGAATATAACTTCGCGTGTAGAACTTGTTTACAATGTCAAGACAAGGTTACAGTAAACAATCTTGTCCAATGCAGCATTTCATTTTATACAAAGTTAAAAGCATTGAATTCCCTGACATTGCCTATAAAGGAGTTTTAGGTGTGAATATTTATTTATATGAATTTCACAAGCCTTCTGAATTTGCTTCCCCCAAGGACTGTTAGATGGGAATGAGAAAAAAAAAACCAAAATGAAGGCAAGCATCTGCTGCTGTCTTGCCTCTTTTATCAATCAGTCAGTCAATAAACATTTATGAAGGACTCAGTGAGTGCCAGGCCTTGTTATGTGCTGGGGAGACAAACACTTCTGAAACGTGTGAACAGAAGGAACTTCTCCAAGTGGTGTTCACTGCTATAGAAGCAAACACAAAGGAGATTCTGACTTAATAACCAAGTCGATTTTCCTTTTATCATGAGCAATGTGTCACATTACTATTTTGGGGAAAAAGGGAAAGTGAAATGTTCTACATGGATGCTTATTTTATCTTAGGATGTGAAAAAGGACTCTAGAGTTCAAAGATGTCAAACATTTTCCCCCTTTTCAATGGGGAATTTTAAATTCAGATCATCAATTCACTTTCAATTCAATTGAAATGTTCAGTCTTAATAGAAAACTTTAAGTTTGAAATGACTTTTAAAAAAGTATAATTAAAATTTGATTTAGATAATGAAGGAAAAATATAACTTTCCTTTTCCTAGTCTGTATTTGGTGACTACAAGGTTTAGGATATTAGCAATTTCCCTAGTTGATTCCAGAAATAGCATAATTGTCTTTTAAAGGTTATTCCTCTAAATGAGATTCAGCTTCAGCCGAAGATCAGGACTTTCAATTCTTCTGCAATTACCAAAAGTATTCTGTAGTTATCTGAAGTAGGAAGAATGGAATATATAGCATACACTTTAACTCCTCTTTCTGTAACCATAACCCTACCCAGTTCTTTCTCCTGTTCCCTTATTCCTGTTTATTACTAACCACCTATGTGTGGTAACCTGCCATTTTAAAGACTTGAAACTGAATTCTGTACTTCTGCTCCATCCTGGAACTCTAGGTAAAGGCTATTTTATTTGATTTTTCTCTTATTTGCTAACAAAAGTATACGTTATGCTTTGGAAAAATGAGAAAAATTCAAAATTAAACAAGACCCTAGAAAGCTTGCAATAAGATAAGTTTATACCAATCTGATAACAATCAAATAAATATGCAGTGAATTCTTATAGCATGGAGGGCAGTGTGCTAGGTACTAGTAATTTTGAGAGATATAACCATAGTTCCTGGTCTCGAGTCCTTTGGTATCATTGAGGATGTACTCATATACATATAAGTACGTATAAAAAGAAAATAATAATACAAAGCTTCATTGTTTCATCGATTTAGAGAGCGAAGGTATATCACAAGTTATTTAGTCTTCCTCTCCCCCACCACCTAGTTTTATGGGTGAGGAAACTGTGTCCCATAGTAACTTACCCGACATCATATAGGTAGCAAATAGCAAAGCTGAGATTTGAACTCAAAGCCACTCACTCCAAATTTAGCTCTCTCTGGGTAATGGTATAGAGCTTTAAAGTTAGAAAAGTGCTTTATATATGTGATGTTAGCTAGGTGGTGTAGTGGGTAGAGTGCTAAACTTAGAGTCAGAAAGACCTGGGTTCAAATTTGGCCCTAGACACTTCCTAGCTGTGTGACCCTGAACAAGTTATTTAACCTCAATTTTCTCATCCCTGAGCTAGTCATTTTACCCCAGTTTTCTCATCCATTGGCAGCTAGGTGGTGCAATGGATAGAGTGCCAGTCCTGAAGTCAGGAAGACTCATCTTCCTGAGTTCAAATCTGGCCTCAGACACTGGCCTCACACATCTGTGTGATTGTGGGTAAGTCAGTTAACCCTGTTTGCCTCAGTTTCCTCACATGTAAAATGAGCTGGAGAAGGAAATGACAAACCACTCCAGTATCTTTGCCAAGAAACCCCAAATGGGGTCATGAAGAGTTGGCTGTGACTGAAAAATGACTGAGCAACAATCCTCATTCATAGGAGAGGGATAATAATAACACCTACCTCCCAGAGTTGTTATGAAGATAAAATAATATAATACTTGTAAAGTGCTTTGTAATCCATAAAACACTATATAAATGCTAGGTATTTTTATTAATTTTTTAAATTATTATTTTCACAGCAACTTTGCGAGTTAAGTACTGTTATTATTTGCATTTGACAGATAAGGAAACTGAGGCTAAGGGTGGTTAGATGTGACCAGAATTACATAGCTAGCAAGCGTCTGGGGTGAAATTCAAACTCAAGTTTTGCCTGACTCTTCCTTTAACACCTGTTCATTACACCATACTGGATAAAGATATACATATGTGTATATACAATAAATGTATATGTATATTCTTGAAATAGGAATAATCTTTGAAACCTTTATTCTTGCTTACATGAGGTATTTCAGCTCCTCAGAAAGGAAAAAAGCAGAAAAAGTGGGCATTGCAGTGAACTGATAAGAAAAGGAATTAGCTATTATATATTGAAAAATTAAAGCATTCAACCCCAGAAAGTAGATAGATTACTTAGACAATAGACATAGCAATAAAGTTTGAATAAAGCTATTATGCTTTAAAATATGATTTTTAAACTGATTGATCAACTTTCTAAGATTTCTATTTTTGTTCTAATTAGTTTTAGAATTGACCAGCATCTCTAATATGTCTTGTAACTGGAAGTAGGATTGAGGAAAAAAAAGTTTATAAGCTGTCTTGAAAATGGAATTTTAGAATGTGAGTCAATCAACATTTATTGAGGACCCCTTTTGTGAGCAGGCACAAAAAACATACTTTAATCCCCACCCTTAGTAATAATTTATTTGAACAGCTTATAGTCTACTTATGATCTGTGCAGCAAAACACAAAGTGGGTTAGTGGTATTCATATGGCAATTTTCCCTCACTGAACGTATATAGATATTGAACCGTCACCTATTGGTGAGGCATTAAATGTTTTAAAAAACTGGCTCTCTTTTCCCTCATAGTTGAATTACACATGAAAATATTGCCTGTGGAAATTTTGGGGTGTCATAAAGTTATATGAAATTTGTTTCCTCTTAATTGATCATTTTGACATTTGTCAAATGGAGCTTTAGGTCAGCCAGAATTGGATTTTTGTTTTGGCCTTTCTTTTTTGTTTTTCAGAATTTGTTTCCACATATAAATCATATCTTTTACTTGGTTTTATAGATTTCTTTTCTCTCTGGGGGGAAAGGACAAACTTATTTGGTGGTTCTTTTCCTTAAAAAAATCTCTATAGCTGCTATGACAGCTTCTTTCCCTGAAACATCTCTTTGTTTTATCATGTTTTATTATACACTGACTTGTGGAGACAGGGATTTAGTGGAATATTTGAAATAAAAATTTTAAGTCTTTTCTTTTTTAGACAGTATACTTCAAGAGATGATGCCTAGTCAAGATGAAGGAGTCACTTTATCGTCCGTTACACCAGAGCAGGATTCTACCCCAGAGATCAGCAGAAAATCTGGTGAGCCTGAGAAAAGAAATAAGAGCCCATCTCCCATCACAGTAATTTCTATTGTGACTCAGCTACCAAGAGAGTCTGAATATTTGGCATCTACTGTCTCAGCGACTGCTGTGCCTTTGTCCCTGGCGGTTACTCCAGGTATGAAAATTAAGGTTAGAGTCTGGATCAATGTTATGGGCTGAGTACATTCTATGAGATGACATGGAATTTAATGTGGTGATGCGTGTACCCATATAAATGAGCCAGAGAAGGAAATGGCAAACCACTCCAGTATCTTCGCCAAGAAAACCCCAAATGGGGTCACGAAGAGATGGACATAACTGAAAATGACTCAACAACGACAACACACACACATATCTAGAAGCCAAAGAAGGTGGGGGGCAAAAAGGATTTGAAATTCTCTGGAATACCTAGCATGGTCTGGCATATCCAGAGGTCAGTCTAAGATGTCATCTGTGGGATTTTAAGAGAATGTTTAGATTTAATGGCATCTCAAAGAGCCTGGATCAATCACTGAGCTAAACCTAGGCTATGGTTTATCTCATGCCCATTCAAATCACGTCAAACTGACAAGCACTTTTAAAGTACTATGTGCCAGACATTGGGCTAAGCACTGGAGACACCAAAAAAAAAAATTAAAAACAAGCCCTGCCCTCAAGGAGCTCTCAATCTAATGTGGGAGATGACATGTAAACAACTATGTACAAATAAGCTGTATGCAGAGTAAGTCCAGTATCATACTCTTCAGTCTACCAAGTCTATCTTAATTTGCCAGATTTAGCTTTGTTTACTGACGTGTTTTCAGAGATCTCAAAATTGGAAATGACCACCTACTGGGATTATTTTGAGCTGGAGAAAACCCCTGAATATTTTTCTAGTTTCATTCTTTTTTGGTGGTGAACTTTTGGTTCAGTTTTCTTATGTGGTACTTTTATATGGAAGGTAGGATAGGACAGGACTAGACCTTTGATTTTAGTGGTATAGGGTGCTTCTGGGTAAGGAAATTATCTTTACCAATATAGGTCAGCAACTCTTAGTATTATTAGGCTGTGCTCTAGAGCACCGAGGGATTAAATATTTTGCCCAGGTCATGCAGCCAAAATGTGTCAGAAGGACAGCTCTTTATCTACCATGCTTCACTGCATCTCCGTAGTAGATGCTCAATCAGTATTTGTTGGCTTATGGAATTTAGCCACCAAAGTTGTAATAAGTTCATAATGTGGCATGTTGTTCATTCATTTTTCAGTTGTATCTGACTTTTTGTGACCCCACTGGGTTTTCTTGGCAAAGATACTGGCGTGGTTTGCCATTTCCCTCATCAGCTCATTTTATAGATGAGGAACCAGAGACAAACAGGGCCAAATGACTTGTCCGGGGTCACACAGCTAGTAAGCATTTGAGGCTAGATTTGAATTCAGAAAGACGAGTCTTCAGCTTTTCTCAGCAATACAATGATCCAAGACAAGTACAAAGGACTCATGAAGGAAAATGCTATCTACATCAAGATAAAGAACTGATGGACTCTGAATACAGATTGAAACATATTTTTTCACTTGCTTTATTCTTTCTTGTGTTTTTTTTTCCCCCAGAAAGGTGAGTCTTCCTGACTCCAGGTCTAGCATTCTAGCCGCCCGGAATGTAGCATACAGACTAATTAATTGGGTGGCAAAAAGAAAAACAATCTTTGTGACAGATCCTTTTCAGCTCTAAATCTATGATCCTGTGATGATTCTATGACTTCCTTTCCCAGAAGAAAAACCTCTAATTAAAAATGGATGAATTGATTTAGTGCAGGGAAGCCCTTTCTCCTTATTTCCAAGAATGGTTTATTTTGAGTTTTGGGTTATTGGTATTTTGGCTCTTGCTTGAGAAATAAGGGTTCACATTAATGTTTTTCATTTTCTGTGATAATTTGCTTACTATCCTGTCTTAAAAAACATTAAAAACAATTTTTTAAAATTGATAGCCTTAACCGTCGCCAACTCAAAAGAAGAGACATTACCTCCAGCCTTTGACCCTTCCGTGACCCTTCCAGGAATGATGGAGGAGACGATGGATATTTCCCTGACATCTGCTTCTGTAACTTCCACCATAAGAACCGTTCCATCGATAAGACACATTAGTACTTCTGTGACATATGACCTGGAACAGATGGAATCACAAGGTATCTGTGTTCTGGAAGGGAGCATTTTTGGGAGGGTGTTGGTGAAAGATGTTTGAGTGCAAAGCTATTTCCTTTCAGAAGTCTCAGTGAGGACTTCTTCTTTGACTAGATAGGTAGGTGGCAAGTTTGAGCTAGGTGTGGTGGTACATGCTTGTAATCAGTGCTGCTGGGGAGGCTGAGGCTGGAAGTTCTGAGCTGCACCTGGTGTAAGCAATCTGGTAGCCTTATTATGGTGTGCTTCCAGAAAGAAGGCAGTGGCTACCAGGCTGCTTAAGGAGGGGAGAACTGGCCCACATAAGAGACTGAGCAGGTCAAAACTCCCGTACAAAAAAATCCCCAAAACATACCACCAAACAACAACAACAACACAACAACAACCTCCTGTGCCAATCAGGAGGGGTATTTGGCCATGAGTGGCCTCTACACTTCCGGCTTGGATAAGATAATGCAACCTCATCTAAAAAAAGAAAGAAAGAAAGCTTGAGTTATCCCCAATCTAATTTTCCTATAATTACATCTTCTTGCTCTTTGCTCATGTATCAAAATGTCATGTAATGACATTCTTCTATGACTAGAAGGGTGTTACCTGACCTGGTTGGAACAGTTATTTCACTTAAAACAGGTAGGCTAGACGGAGAATTAACATGCTGTGATATTTGACACTGAATGACTTGAGATGCTGAAAGCATAGATGATGTCCTAGGGTCACCAAACTACATAATTTGAAGGAATATACCACCCCTTCTCATTAACACTGGAAAGCTCTTGAAAAAAATAATTGCCTTTCTTCCCTCCTTTGCTCCTTCCTTCTATACTTTCCCTTCTTTCTTCTTCCATGCCTTTCTTCCCTCTCTTCTTTATTCCTCTCATCCTTCTCTCCCTCTGTTCCTCCTCCCATTCTCTCCTTCTTCCCTCTGTTCATTCTTTCCTCCTTCTTCCTTTCTTTTCCCCCTTGTTTCTTCCCTCCCTTCTCCCTCTCTCTTTTCCTCTGTCTTCACTTCCCTTCCTCCTCCTTTCCATTTATCCCTTCTTCTCACTTCTGTCTCTTCCCTTCCTCTGTTCTCCCTTCCTTCCCTCTTTTCCTCCTCTCCTTCACCCCACCTCCCTTCTTCCCTTCCTTTCCTCTTCTCCTTCTCCCTTTCTCTCCTCCTTCCCTACTGTGATCTTCCTTCCCTCCTTTCTTCTTCTTCTTTTTTTTTTTTTAAAGGCAATTGGGGTTAAGTGACTTGCCCAGAGTCACACAGCTAGTAAGTGTCAAGTGTTTGGTCTGAGGCTGGATCTGAACTCAGGTCCTCCTGACTTCAGGTCCAGTGCTCTATCCACTGCACCACCTAGCTGCCCCTCCTCCTTTCTTTCTTCCCTTTTCTCCCATCCTTCTCTTCTTCCTTCCTTCCTTCCTTCCTTCCTTCCTTCCTTCCTTCCTTCCTTCCTTCCTGTTTCATTAATTCTTGCTATTTTCACACCAGCAACATTTCTCAATTTATTCCCATTTTCCCCATTAAACCTTTCCTTGTAACAAAGAAAGAAAAATGAAACTGATCGATGCAGCAACAACATGTGCACCATTCCATAGTAGTGGTGCTGCCCCTCTTTCTACTGAGCGAAGGAAAGTACATTTCATTATTTGTTCTCCCAGACCAAGATTAATTATTTAAATTAAAGTCATCCGTCTTTTAGTATTTTTAAAACATTTAAAAAAATTAATTTATTTTGATTTATCAACATTCACTTCCATAAGCTTTTGAGTTTTAAATTTTTCTCTTCCCCCCCACCTCCCTCCCCAAGACGGCATGCAATCTGATATAGGCTATACATATATACTCCTGTTAAACATATTCTCACATTAGTCATGTTGTAAGTAAGAATTAGAAGCAATAGGAGGAACCACCAGAAAGAGGAAACAAAACACAACAGAAGAAAAGAAACAGGAAATAGTATGCTTCGATCTGCATTCAAGCTCCATAGTTCTTTCTTTGGATGTGGATAGCATTTTTCTTAGTATTTTTTTTTTTTAGTTTAGTACTAATAGCGTAATGGATATGTGAGACGTACAAGTCTAGAGATATCTTTATCCCAAATGTTCAAACAGACAATTTGTGCCTGACCTGTGGTAGAGCCTTCCAAGTTTATGTTAGATTGATCAGTCACAAATGAACACACTGTACCTTGACCCCAATATTGTGATGTCATTGTTCCTACTTGAGTATGAAGGACAAACAACAACAAGAAGGAATAACATTGTGTGCATTGTTCTCCTGCCTCTGCCTATGTTATTTTACTCTGCATGTAATACAGTCTTTTTGTGTCTTTCAATTCATCTCCAAATTTTTCATACTCTTAATTTCTTATGGTGAAGTAGTATACCTTTATGTTCATGTTATAATTTGTTCAGCTATTCCTGAATCAATGGGTTCACATTTTGTTTCCAGGTTTTTGCAACCCCCAAAATATTGCTATGAATATTTTGGTATATGTAGGAACCTTTCTTTCCATCTTTAATGTCCTTGAGTTATATGTGTACCTTTAAAAGAGATAATTCAGAGTTGAATGTAGCCAGAGCTTATCTTCCTATTCTTTTCACTTTACTTTGCTTTTCTTCAACATGACTGCAGCTATTTAAAATACTGAAACCCAAATGAGAAACTGATTGAGAAAGGTCATCTTCTCCCTCTTCAAACCCCCCCCCTTTTTTAACCTCATATCTTTTTATTTTTCTTAATCATTAAGAGAGAATCATTAGGGATGTCTTGTGTTCATTGGGAATTCGGGACTAAGCCTTCCTGTCCCAGTGATTGGGAGAAACAAACCAGATTGAGCTCTTAGATCAAGGCCAAGCTGCTAAGTGGTTAGTTCACTTCCAACATTTGCTGGTGTCAAACATTCTGGGTAATTAATAGAGTGGGTGCACTATGTGTTCAACTGTCAAACCTCCAGAACAGTTTCACAAGTAAATAAATTAGTAATTGGATAATCTCACTGTTGGGTCTGCATCTGCTTAGAATTCTCGATGAAAGCAATTTTATTTAAGAGACACAAAATTGTACTCCATGGAGTGGTGTGCCCTTCTGCTTGAAGACTGTAGTGTAATGCAAAGAAACGTACCTTCCTGGCCTTTTGCATCTGCCCAGCATTTCATTCAGCAAGATTAATTTACATTATGGTAGGGATATTGAAATTATCTTCATGTGATGTTTTCACAGATTCTTTGTAAGAGACTAAAATCACTAAAGATTTCAAAAGAGTGTTTCAGAGAATCAGTGAAATGGAGAAAAAATAGAAGATGGGGGACAAAAGAAAAGGGACAAAGCAATTCTGAAGGAAAGTTCATCTTTGAAAAGAAGTCTAAATTAAAGTAACTGATATAGTTATTAATACTATAACCACACAAATAACCCTCTGTTGTGTTCATGGAGCTAGGATGCTAGCCCTCTCTTCCACTAAAGGGCCTCTCTCAATTCTGGACCCAAGTATGTGGACTGGATTTAATTCTGAGGGGTCAGGGAGTGCTGTCCTCTGAAAAGTGGGGTCACACTCTTCTTTCCCCTTGAACTCACTAGTTTTTTATACCTCTCATTTTGGAACCCTGGGGAAAAAATCTCTCACAGTTTAGATTTGGTTCAAGATCTCCCCCAAAAGGGAAGAAAATAGAAAGATTCTTAGTGTTCGCTGTGAATCAGGTATAGGATAGCTGTTTATTTCCACTATGCACACACACAAAATACTTGGCTCAAGAGACATTCAAAGACTTAAACAAGGTGCAGTAATATATAACTACTGTCAGACTCTCCCTGGAGGCTGAGACTTAAACATCAAAACATGAAGTCGTTTACAGTATTGCTGAATCAGCATTTCACCTTTGATTCAGCACTGCACTGTCCAAACAGTTTTCTTAAGGTCCATGTCTTTTGGCCAATTAGGTTATGGGTTGGACTTATTTTCCTTCTGGTGGTCATCTCTAAGAAGCACTGCTGGGAGCCCTATTCCAAGTATACTCAGCATCAAATGAGGACTCAGGATCCCCCCAAACTCTCCAATTTATAAGGTTGCCTTCAAGGCATCTCAGGATCACTGCTCAGTTAACTTATTTTTTGAAAAAAATTATACTAAATTTGTTTTTTGGTTACATTTTAAGTTCCTGTCTCTCTCCCTCCCTACTCCACACTAAGAAAGCCACCATTTGACACAGATTTACAAATATGCGTAAATCCAAACTATGTATACTTCTATTTATCAGTTCTTTCTCTGGAGGTAGATAGCATCTTCCTTCATGTCCATTATAGCTGATTTGAGCATTTACAGTATTCAGAATAACTACGTTGTTCACAAGTATTCTTTGAACACTATTGCTATTACTGTGCGCAATGTCCTCTAGGTTCTGCTCATTTCACTTTTCATTATTTCATGCAAGTCTTTCCATGTTTTTTTAAAAAATCAATCAGCTCATCATTTCTTACAGCACAATAGTATTCCATCACAATCATGTACCACAATTGTTTAGCCATTCCCCACTTGATGGGTATCCTCTCAATTTCTAGTTCTTTGCCACTACAAAGAGAGCTGCTATAAATATTTTAGAGCATAGCTTCTTTTCCTTTTCCCCTGATCACCTTGGGAAACAGACCTAATGGTGGTATTGCTGTGTCAAAAGGTATCCACAGTTTTATAACTCTTTGAACATAATTTCAGATTTCTCTCTAAAATGGTTAGATCAGTTCACAGTTCCACCAACAGTATATTAATGTCCTCCCCAACACATCCCCTCCAACATTTGTCAGTTAACTCAAGAAAATAACAAAACAGAAAAGGTCGCCAAAGATTGAGATTCAGCTTAGCCTATGTAGGATGTGAACCCTCTACCATATATTTCTAGCTGCCACTGAAGAGGTTTGACATTTTCAGAAGACAGGAAGAAAGAAGGAGAGAGAAAGAGAGAGGGAGACAGACAGAGAGAGAGAGAGACAGAGATAGAAATAGAGAGAGACAGAGGGACAAGGACAAAG